TACCTATATAAACACATGCTCATAATATTATTATATTATTATTATCATGCATGTGTCTATTCCATCGCCTCGACTGCGCATATTGTAGAAAATCAATACGAATAAAATACATTATAATATTAGGTATATATTATAAATAATATAGCATAGAGTGTTTCACAATGATTTGACACTTGCGTACATGTTAAATGCAAATCTGGTCCTGAGGTAAAACACCATAATATGTAATATGATAATAATATTATCAACTATTATGCGTTTATTGAATATTAAGTAATTCCAATGGGCGGGGTTAGGCGGTCAAGAAAGACGTTGACATTCTGACAAACGCTGGTCGAAACAAAAATAAGCATCTATGTTACTATGTTTTATTGACACGACCAAAACGGTTTTATTATTTACTTATAGGAATAAAAAACGTTCAACAGTATTCGAACTGATATTGTCCGCTAACGGCGGTCGTCCATTACAACATTCGTGTAACATAAAATAATACTAATATGTCATTATAATATTATATAATTATACGCTGTGTTGTTACCTTTAGGTGTTGTGTTTACAGTATACAACAAAATTCTTTAATTTATACCACATAATTAATATCCTTTTAAATATAAATACATCCACATAGTATAACACGTGTTTATGTAAATTCAAATAAAACAAAACGACCGCGAGCTTTAACGTTTTCAAAATCGAATTCTGTTATCAACATTGTTGTTATCATCGTTATCATTCTTATCATTATGTCATCTATGTAAAATTATTGATAACAGGTATTATTTGTGTATTTTTTTTTTGGTTTTACTATTTTTTTTAAAATTATTTTTACAATCTAAAAATAGCTTATTAAACGTAGAATTTTTAAAAACAAATATCGTACTAATATTTCACTGTAACGCCGACGATTATTATGTTGGTTATGTACGTTCGGTTGACTGATAAAACGATAAAAAAGTGTTTAACCCAAATCAAATATCTACTTCAAAACGCGGTAAACAAAAAATAGGTAGGTAGGTGTACATGGTGTGAAATAGGTGTGAACAATTAATTAAATGCAACGTCATTCGTTTAATTGATTTTCAAATCGTTCGTTCGCTCTAGTTTGGGGCGAGCACTATTTTAATTACATAGATAAGTATTTAGCAAGCAAACGAATGCTTTGTAATCGATAACGCAATGTTCTTAATCAAATTACATAAGTATTTTGCGTTACCTACTAAACATTTGGTAAAAAAACACTTTCGACTTGTACGGGCTAATTTCCTCTCTTAATGCTTTTTATTTTGTTTACATGGATAACACTGAAACAACGACCATTCACCCACGTTGATTCCGAGTTCACCAAAAACATTTCCGAGACAAGAACATAAAAATATATTGCTTCGTTTTTATGATAATTACTGTACTTTTAAAGTCGACGAAGAGAAACTTTAATTACAAAGGTCGTTTTCGGGGTAAAAATTTGCAAGCTTTATTTTTTCAAAGGTGTCCCTAAAATGTGTTTATTTCATTAAAATAACAGAAAAAAACGAGTTGTATTTTATTCTCCAATTTTATAGCCGAGAAAAAGTTGTGAGCAATCAGTATTTTAATCCATTTAGATAAGTACCTACCATACCCAAAACAGTTAAGATTAATTTTTGACTTGCAAACCATGCAAACCTTGAAAAAAAAAAATCAAAAAATTTAAAATCTATTTCTAATAAACATATATTATTCTGAGTGTTTGATGTACATCGAGTTTGATACAACAAAGCCATAACAAATGTTAATGGGTAAATTAATTTTGATAATTGCAAGAAATACCTACTTTGTTTTAAAATTTATTTTTACAAAGACCACGATAGAAGCTATTTCCTTTTTTTTTTATAAACTATAACTATTGTTTGATAAAGAATGACTGCGGGTAAAACGGGTTCTATCTGATAAAATGATCGGATTACAATGACATACTTATATTTTTGTTCATAAGATGATGATGATTATCCTCAAGTTATTTTGAAATCCGAATACCATTTGAATACAATAAAAAAGAAAACGCATAAGTATAGTAGGTATAATTATTAAAGCGTATTAGCATACTGTGACTTCTGCTTTTAAGATTTAATATTAAAAAATATATGTAGGCATAATTCAAGACGGCATTTAAAATGTAGATACGGCGATCAAGGTCGTTCCTTCCCCTGCTTTATAAGTAAGTATACAAATCTCATTGTAAGCATATTGTAGAAACTAACGGTTGTCAATTGAAAAAAAAAACATCATTATAAAACCAAAAGCTAAAAAATTGACCAATTGAGGAATCCTAAAAAATGAATATTTCGTTTTTTGTAAAAAAAAATGTCTATAAATAGGACTAATTTGTTTACTATTAGTAAACCAATTTAATATACAGTTAACTAGCATGAAATGTTTTCAGCATTCACATTTCAATGTGAATACACTTATCATCAAACCCGTTCGTTGGCGAATTTTCAAAATTGTACTTAGTAATGAATTTATAGCTGTTCAAGAATAAATAAAAAGTAGGTATTTGTTCAGGAATTAGATAATGGACGGTTTTGCCTTAAAACCATCATGGACCACTCAAAACAGGTTTAGGTTGGATAAGTATTTAATTATGTTATTATGGCAGCTGTGATAATCTGATAAAAAAAAATAATTACCAATAAAGAATCCTCATTGGACATTGCTATACTAGTAAATGGTGTACACTTAAGGTTTGCTTAAACCTACGATTTTACTTTAAAAAAAAATTGTATTGTAATAAATAACAGCATTGCTCATACCATATATATTATAATATAATACTAGTATTACCGAGATATTACCCTATTATTTAATGTATTATAAGGTTGACTGAGAGGAGAAGAAAGGAAAATATCCAAGTAAAATTGTTGCAGATTATAAGGTTTTAGGAAGAGGTATACTTAGGACTGTAGACGAGAGATTAATTATTAAAGGATTAATACCGAACAAAAAATTATTTAAGTTACCATTTTTTTAATTAATTTTGTTTTTTCAACGAGCAGAAGCACTTTTACAACAATAATAATTCATCATAATATACAATAATTATATATATAATATACAATATACTGTATTGTTACTAAAACAGTTTAAAAGACAAAACAACTACAATTAAGATTATACCATCAGGGGAAATTTGAGCTGCTTTTTTGAAAATTAAATTCTCACTTCTAACGACTAAAAGTAGAATAGTCTAGTAATGATGTAAAACAAATCAGAACCAGTATTTATTAACAACAATCAATGTCTCTGTTTAATAAATGGAAAATAAAATATAATATTAATATTATGCGCCAACTGACGTGTACAAGGTGATATGAATTTCTCGATACTAGCAACACTTTCTCAAAATTCCCACTCCACATTTTCATTATTATTACCTAGTTGAATTACTGTACAAAACTAGAGGGTGGAATTCAAATGTGGATCTAACTAATGAAAAAATAAATGACATTTGAAATTTATTTTCAAAATTTGACACGTTTCGGTTTAATAGTCGTGACACAATTATTATGATTTTTTTAATAGTATTTTTGTTTTGTGCTGCGATAAATCACTATGATAATTAGTACAATGGTCATTAGCTGTGGAAACTACTTAAATCGGTGTTATTAATTCTCTAGACAATTGTATGTAATTGGATTTTTGTTGTTACAAGTATTGAATTTCGACACATTTTACTAAATATATTTAATGGGAAACAGTTGACTTCACTACACCGAAATGCACTCAATGGTTTTATTTTAGCTTAAAGTGCATAGTATGTATAATAATATTTTTAACGCATAATTAGATCCGGTTTTGAACTAAAAGTGTTTTGAAAATACACAAGTATAATAATTATAATAAGTATAGTATAATTTTAATCTTTCCGGGGTTGTCTGTCGTAAGCCTTCGAGGACGGCGGCGTCCGTGCCGCCCGTAAGTCGCGGCCGTGCCGACCGAAATATGGGCATTTGCACGAGTGCCATCCGCTAAACGGATCAAAACGTTCTTTTGTTTGTTGTTTACGCGGTAACCGCACGCGGGATGTTGCACGCACTGCGTGCACCGGCAGCAGCGATACCACGTTTTTACGCTTTGCATATTACACACACACACACATATGACACATACACGTACGTGCGTGCGTGCGTACGAGTACCGGGAAGAGCCTGCGGCGGGGCGCGAGTCGGCGGCGTGCGTGCGTGCGTGCGCCTAGGCGTATGTGAAAATAATAGTATGATAAAAAAAAAAAAAATAACCGAAGAAAGAAATTCACCGCCGCAGCCAGCCACCGTTATCCCCCACTGCAGTAGGCGTCTGCGGCTGCAAGGCGTGACCATTGCGCGCACATAAAAACGCCGGCCGGGAAGGGATCGCATCGCCGGCGGACACTTCTGTTCCTGCGATTGTGCCCGACGCCTTTGGAAAACGGTTTTTTTTTCTTCAATAAAGGACTAAAAAAAAAACCCCTTCCACTCCGGGACGACCTTTGAAAAATGTAATATTTTATAAAAATCGCACAATAGAGTAGTAGTAGGATAATAAACACGGAAAAATGTAGGTATAGTCTTCTGACCATACTACTGAAATGAATCGTTTTTTTTTTTTTTAATTATTGTCGGCGTACAGAGAATACTAATTATTGAAAACATAGAAAATACCTATATTATTACAACAATAGCTGGTACAAGAACGTTTTTGGCGTCCCGCGCTCGCGACCCACTCGATGACCGCCACCGGTGCCCACTACCCACCTCCACTCGGGCCGCCGATGGCGTCTACCCCCTCCGCCGTAGCCGTTACGGCCGCCGCCGATGGCAGCAGCAGCGACTACGGGCCGCCGCCGCCGCCGAACATGTCCAGCAGGCCGACGCGGCGCCCGTCTGTGTGTGTGCAGCGTGGAGGGTTCGCGCGCAGTTTCTACGTCGGCCCGCGGCCGCCATGTGAGCGCGAATTACTTAATACCAGACATAGTACACGCACAAACAATATTATCGCCGCCGACGTCCGTCGTCCGTTGTCGTTTCCGCGATCATCGTCGCGCCGTCCGTCGTGAGTCGTCGTCGCCGCCGCCGTCGTACTCGTGTTCATTCGCGTCGCGGCCAACGATAAAAGAATATTACACGTTTTTATTTTTATTTAATCATTTTTTTTTTTCAAAACGCGTTTGTTCTCAAAAAAAAAATACAAAATACAACCGGTCCTTACACAAGTATAGAAAAAATTTAATTAAATTCGAAAAAAATAACGACGTCTCGTCGTCGTCGTCGCGGGACAAACGTTTTTTTGTCTTCAAAAGAAAAAATTATACTGTTCCCGTTTTCATCTCGTCGTCGCCGTCGTCCAAAAAACAGCACACATCAAGGATATCATTTTTTTTTTTTAATAATATTGTCGTTGAGGTAACGAACATAACATTATTATTTTATAATAATCAACAATTTTATTATTATCACACATCATTGTTTAGCCGCGCTCGTCTCCTGTCCCCTCCATGTGAATCGCTTTCGTTGATAATAGTGATAAGGGGAAAGAAAGAAAAAAAAATGGTTATCGCCACATTTTTATTAGCACACACACACTCAAAACGGTGTATTTGATGATACGTTTCTCAATTAGGTATAAATTTCGCGTGCAATCGTTACATGTTCTACCGTCGTCCGTACGGTTTTTGTTTTAGTTTTTTTTTTCTTTTCTTAGTCATATAATTATCTTAACAGTAGCCAACTATTGAACTCACCGGCTTGCACTTAACAAGTAACACAACCCGAGCACAACATACCTACCTAAGTATTGCAATGTGGCAACGCGACCGCGGCTTATCTCGGCTGTAGCGGAATGATGATTTTCAAATTTTCACACGACGTTCAAAGTACGTAAGTCATTCGGCTAATCGGTCATCGTCCGACAACCGTCTACCGTACCGGTTTTCGGACGATCGTTGGAAAAATCTGATTAAACACCCGTCGACAGTTTGTTTGTTCGATTTCTAATGCCTGTACCCGTTACGTGTGGCCACGCTAAAATATTGATACACCCTCTTAAAGCCTTTATTGCCGTACGGCTCGACACGAGCACACGTGTTTTCGAAAATGCCACTGTAAATATCATAACGTTAACCTGTAGGCGTGTGGCTGACAATAAAGTTTACGGGTTTGGTGAAACCTACTTAAGTCTGCCTACGTAATCCTCCGTACCTTATGTTATATAATATTGTTAGTGCGTATTTAACATAATTTATTTGTTCGTCGCTTGAGTTTCGTATTTAATTTTCGTCATAATCTGTTGTGACTTCAACACAAGTTGATCATTTCACAATTACCAAACTACCTTTGGTTAATCCGAGTAAAAAGACTAAAAAAAAAAAATAAATAACACAAGTTTGCATTTTGAACGTAACAAAATACTTTATTTTCAACTAAGTACTTTAAGTACGTCTTGTACTTTATCGGTTAGTTCCAGTTTAATGCTTCATTGAGTTGGTTAGTTTCATTTAATTTATTACTTATAATAGCTTGTTTTCTTTCTGTTTCCTTTATTCGTCCTTCATTTTTATTGTTGATTGTTGAAACAACACTTTGTTTTTTGATTTTGTGTCTTAAAATAAATTTTTATACTTTTATTTTATGTAAAATTGAAAATCATTATTATATTTTTTTGTTTGGTTTATCTTGTTTTTTTAGAACAATTTTACTGTATATTATCTTTCTTCTTATTAAGCAAACATTGCTGTTTGTATTTCCATCTCTGATATATTTTAAAGGAGTTATTGAGATTGCCTCAGAAAAGTAACTTCTAAAGTTTGATAGGGTTACAATTACTAGTTTTTTCAATTAAAACTACAATTTTTATATTCTAAAATTTAGTGAAAATTTTATATTATCTTTTCTTTAAAATAAATAAATAAATGGAATTAAATTGTTTTTATAGTAGTTTTCTTTTCATTCAATTATATTATAAACTTATGTTACACGAGAAGTCATTCATTAATAATGTTAACGTCAATTTGTTCAAAACATTCAAATTAAAACTCAAAACGTTTTATTCCATTTGTGGTTCTATTTTTATTCTAATATTTGTTGCTTGTTTATTCAAATTTTCAGACTTGAACTAATTTCTTAACGTTAACATTTTTATCAGTTATTGGTTTATTATTATTAATTAAGATAAGCTTAATTTGTGTCGACTTGACTGAATTTCTCTATCTTTAAACACATTTTTTTAGGTCTGCCTAACAAAATGAGAAATATTGTATTATTTTTGTTCTGTTTTCATAAATATTTTGGTTTCACCGATTTGATTACCAAATCCGAATTGAGTACGGCCTAAACTCGTTGTCGTTTGACTTTTATCTGATGAGATAAGTTTTTATGTTTAAGACAAACAATGTATAAATATGTAAATAGTAATATGATTACTGTGTTAAATTGTTAGTTTGAAGTGTGCGAGTTGAGTAATAACTTTCATTGATGCAAAACGGTCTATATGCTGTAATAATCTAATTGACGTTGTTTCAATATCAATACCATAACCAAATCAATTAACTAGTTGTTAGTGTAATTTTTTTTTTTTTATTCTATTAGATAACATAGTTTTGATTAACCTCATGCGTGAATAATTGTACTATTTTAGTAAATTAATAAGGTCAATGTATAATTTGTGTACGACGTACGTGTTATAACAAAAGAAGCAATCAATTAAAATTTCTCGTTAACGCACGAAGGTCAATGTGGCCCGAAATTTAATGTCGGTAATTTTTTTTGGCTTACTAAAAAAATTGGGCGTTTTTTTTGTACAGATGAATAAGAGTTCATAATGGGCGGAATGGATACGGATCAACTATATTCAGTTCGGTGGAATGAATTCCACACTAGTATTATAACGTCATTTCGACACCTGCTCGATCAAGAAGACTTCATCGATGTTACTATTGCTTGTGACGGCAAATCGTTCACCGCTCACAAAGTCGTGCTCTCTGCGTGTAGTCCTTACTTCAGATCTCTGCTCAAGGTAAGTGATAATGTGGATTCAATGTTTTTTGCGCGTCGATGAGAACGAGTGCACCGGTTAATATTATTTTTATTTCCAGGCAAACCCGTGCCAACACCCTATTGTGATCCTTCGCGATGTCAAAAAACAAGAAATGGAGGCGCTGCTGAGTTTCATGTACAATGGAGAAGTTCGAATTAACCAAGAACACTTACCAGAATTTTTAAAGACTGCTCGGAGTTTACAAGTGAGAGGACTTGTCGATTTCACCAAAGAAGGTCAACCCGTAAGTGCATTGACATAGTTAAAGAAACAATTTTGTCTGGTAATTATACCATATAAAAATTGGTTTTATTTCAAACAGTCGTCTTGGGGAAGTTCAAGTGTCGTGCCTGTAGAAATGGTCGGCAAAAACAAGTCCAGTGATCATTTGTCTAGCCCGCCATACAAAAGACCGCGTAACAACTCAGAAAAGTTATCTTCTCAACCACCGACTCCTAGTACCAATTATAACACCGCCGATAGAGATAAAGATACGACTTCGCTCCTCGTGCAAGCGTTGGAGTTGAACCAGCCACAATCAAATCAGGTAATGATGAAATGGAAAATCAACTGAATGGACAGTTTTTTTCTTAAAACGTAGATACTTATAATAATAACTTTTGCCGTAGAACAAAAACGCAGTCGATTCATCGGAAACCGGTCATTCTTCCGACGAAGAAGACATAATTTCGAGGGATTCCGACGGTAGCGGGGCTGTGAACAACGGTATTCGGTCGGATAGAAACCAACAAAACAACGACATGCATGGTCAGTCGCAAATATCGCAGGGACAACATTCGTCGAAATTAGAACCGGTGGATTTTTTATCGGCCAGCGGAAACAATCACGACTTGCACAACACTTCGATTTCAATCGAACAACAGTCTAGGCATTCGTTTCCCGCATCGTTGTCGTCAGGAGTGTCGATTATAAATAGTTTGCAAGGTTTGTGTTTCTGCGATTTTGGTTTGACCCAAACCGTTGAAATGTAATATTTTCTTTTTTTGCCCGACAGGTCTACCCGGTCTCTTGCCAGGTCCGTCGGGCATACACAACAACAGTCAAGAAAACAGCTATGGTGAGTTTCTTGTTTATCGTATTATGCTTATTTACTAACATTAAATGCTTAGACGAAATTAATAATGGAAAATAAACAATGAAAAATTGTTGCCTTGAGCACATAAAGAAGTCTAAAGTTTTGAGACACATTTATGAATTATATTTTTAGCGACATGAACATCTAGTTATAATTATTTTATATTAGTGTAAAACACTTAAGGCTGTAACGATAATGTGTCGTTGTTATTGTTCTCATGAAATTGCATATTACGGGACGCAAAGTGCATGATGATTAGTTGTGTCGAGTAAAAAACCTACGTTAATAGCTGATGTACAATATAATATAAACACAGTAGTTTTGCAAAAAAAAACGTCTCTTAATACAGTTCCAAAATGTGTTAAAGACATGTGACATACATAATTGATCTATCTAGAAACTATGAGTAAACCCACTCTTTGTCTATGTATTAAAATAGTAAAGAATAACAATTTCTATTTAACTCGGAAAATTGTCATTGTTACATAAATAGAGATGAACGTCAAGTCACTTTGGGCTAACGAACAGTGTTCATCTTTGTAAACAACGTTAGACTTAAATTATTATGTATTTTAAAAGAATTTGAATAGAATTTTATAGTAATTATCGTATTATATTGTATTAAATTCTGTAAAGTTTTTATTTTATTAGTCCAAAAATCATAATTATATTTTAGTACCTATTTGTAGTGACTAAATAATTCAAATCGAATACTAGTGAGTATGTGGAGACAAAAGTGATTATATTAAAATGTTTAAAAAATAAAAACAATAGACAATACGAATCGTTAAAATCGTGAGCGATTTAACGATAACAATTGCTCGAAAAACAAAGACTGAATATTAATTTTACAGTATGATTGTTTGAAAAAAAAAATAAAATACTTGGCTTTTCAGGATGAAATTATTTTGTTAAAGACTTGTAAAGCCAAGTAATATTATTATTTACTGATTTTTTTTTAAATTTGTTCTATCGTTAAATGTTTTAATTTCCTCCGCAACGCCCAAGTGGGTCGCGTCCGTCTTGTGCTATAACACGTTAGGTATTAGTTTTTCTAACAGTTTTACAAACAATAATTTTCTATCGCTCGAAAGCGGCCGTTGCTGTAAAAATTAATAAGAATCATATTTTTTTTTATAATAACAAAAAAAAAAAAAGTCGTCTAAAAAGCAAATTAGTATCGAGTACACGGATCAGTATTGTGTTGTTGTTTTTGTTTGTGAGAAGGTAGTAAATAAACGCCATGGTTTTATTGTGAATCGTTGAATCCTGGCTTGCGTTATATGGATATGACGATGCGATTGTAGTGTCTTCCGAATGGCAATAGTAATAATACACAAAACGTTTGCTTATAGTATACTTGTTTATCGTTTCAATCTCAATAGATGTATATATTGAAAATATTTTTACATATTGTGTACATTTTGAAATGGTAGTAGAGAGTTTGATAAAAAAGGCCGTCCAGTGCGATATTATTTTTTTTAATAACAATAATGTTGTACGCGTTTTTCGATTTTTGATGAGTCGGTGGTTCGGTCGGACACAATACGACGCATTCAAGTAGAAGAAGAACAACTAGACTTCTTAAAACGAATACTGCTAATAATAATAATAATAATAATATTATACACCACGTTAGTGTGTTATCGAATACTCGGAATGTTTTCATGTTGTTTTTCTCTTTTATTTTTTTCGAATTTTTTTTTTTTTTTTTTTATGCTAATGTTACATTTTGCCGGCCGTTTGTCCTATTGGCTCGTTTTATCCTTGAAACACCGTCGGACAGTGCACATTAATCGGTTCGGATTATAGAGCAGGAACGTCGCCAGTTGTCGGTTTTTTATTATTTTTTATTTTTTGCATCATCGAGAGTAACTTGGGCTTGGCCCAAATCGCACCAATCGAGTCGGTGCACGGTTAGGTTAACCTTAGGTGACTTTCTCTGATCCAGAAGGATTATAGAATTACAGGCTAGGTCGGCGTGGGGACGTTTCCCTTAAGACGGGCTTTTGTTAGACACCGGATATGACTTTTTTTATTAGGTTAGGTCAAGCCGAGGCTTTTTAACGGTTAAAAAATTCGCGCCACACCGTCTGTTTATCGTCGACGTGTAAAATATAGACAATTTTCTCGGTAAGACTTCTTGATAGGACAGCTAAAACGTTTAAAGTCGCGGTAGAAGTCTATACTGAATGCAGCTGGAAAAAAATCGGTAAGGGTTAAAAAAAAAGCCCGACATAATCGAATTTGTTGCATGCATGAACTCGAGGAAAAAACTATTAACCCCAACTTTAGGGTAAATACCAAAACATTTTCTGGGCTTAAACCAGAAAAAAATCGTTAGGTAATTTTGGGTTTTTTGCATACTGTTTCAATTAATATTAAGTTGGAAAAAGAAACCAAAAACCAACCCCCTCACAAAAAGAAAAATTCCAGTTAGATTAATTTATTTTAACCTAGATCGTGTTTGGTATGTAACCAAAAATACCCTAATTTTGTCGGGTTTATATTTAAAAACTAAACGGGTAAATTATGTTAGAGTTTAGCTTAGGTCAGATTAGGTTTTTACCAACGTGTCGTAACGACGTTAAATCCTATACAAATGTTAAGCAAACAAATGTTTTCTCATTATTTTTGAAACATTTTTTTTTAATTTAATTTTTTTAAAATTATATCATTTAAATAATAATTTAAGCCAGTTATCGAATGTTTAAAAAATATATATTTTTAAAATTTTGTTTAACGTAATGGATATATTTTCAACTGTATGTAAATAATAAATGTGTTAATAACATTTATATGAATTGTAATTTGTATAAGAAATGCAATAGTGATATAATGAAGTACAAACAGAATTATTCAAACATTTTCGATTCGTTTTCGTCTCATTTGTTGAACTAGTTAAGGACAAACATTGAAACAAAAGTTCATCTATGCCAAATCGAGTCTTATTGTTTTAGTATAGCTGTACTGGTGTTGTGCATTTGTACTGTTGAGTTCTTGGAAAAGTGCTCTAAAGCCATGTTTTTGTACTAAAATCGCTAAAACTGCATATTGTGTAATAGTTGGAAACCGACAATATCAAAACAATAAGTATAATAATTTCACGTTCATGTCAGGTTATTAGAAAAAAACCGGAGTTGAACAAAAAACCCGACCCAGTTAGGTTTTTTTTTTGTTTATACATAAACCCAATATAATTAAAAATTGCCATCTGAAGAAATACTTTCGTATTTGTGCGTCAAGTCTGGCCAGCCCGCTAAAACGTTTTTGAGCGTTTATTTCTTCTAAACCGTTTTTGGAGTTTATGTTTTCTTTTTAAACGGTTTACTTAAAAATACTCGTGTAGGCGGTCACCGTTTAATTTAAACGCGCTTCAAGCGTGCGTGTTTGGAAAATAAAAGCTCGTTAACTTGGTTGTTATTATCTTTGCAGTAGTAAAAATAAAAATCCAGTAAAAAAAAATCACCACCCCGCGTCGTTTGCTGTGCACGTGAACGGTTTAATAGTAATAACGTTGTCGTACAACCCTTTCTAATATTAATTGTTGTTGGTAAAGGTTAAAACAAAACAAAAAAAAAACCAATTATTTCCCCGCTTTCCAGAGAAAACTTTTCGGTTTTCATTTATTATTTAATTCCCGTTTTTTTTTCTCGTTCTGTTGTTTTAATAACCTTTGCGCGTCGGTATCGGATCGTTTTTTAAATGCCGTCGTGCAACGTTTTTTTTTTTTTTTTAATTTACGACCGACCTGGTAATGTCAAAACCCGTTCAAAAGATTATTTTTTTTTCTCCAATTTTTTCCGATTTTTTCTAACGCGTTAGGTGTGTTTTGATAAACACCGCTAATGTACATGACAATAAGCGTCGCCTATTGAAACGACGTGTGCATGTGTGTGTGCGCACTATATCTAAAGGTGAACCAACAAACAAACAAACAAAAAAGAACGCTCTACCCAAAAAAAAAAAATTATCTATACAGAGCTTCAGTGTTAATTTAGCCGGTCCCTCGCACTGTCAACACCGGCGCGCCCCTTTTGAGCCTTTTTTTTTGTTTGTGTGCACAGTGTATTAGTCATCGGTACGGCCGGATAATCTTAAGTTACCTATCTGTCCTGCATTGCCCTGCCCTGTCCTGCCTTAACCTCCCTTGAGTAGTTTCAGGGTTTTTGAGAGGTCGCGAGACGTAGGGTAAACACTAAACACACTTTCGGAGAGTTTTGCTTTTGTCAGCCAACGGTCAATTTCACAACAACAATTTTATCACACATTACATCACTTTTCCACAGTTGGAAATGACACGTTTTTTCCCCCCTTAAAAAACAGATCCTGGTGAGTTCTTTTGACCGTGCTAAACCCTGTAGATATTTATAGGCAAGTACTAAAAATATTCGACGGGCTTAAGAAAACAAACAAACTGGATTTTGCACGATTAACAACAATAATATCAATCAGTTGGCCAACAAAAAAAATATTTTTTTTTAAAAACATAAACCTGATAAAACATTGTCTGGTTTTGGTTTGGGTTTCTTTTATTCCAGCTATACATAACTAATGAGTAATGACTAATGTATGTAACTGAAATTTCTTGTTTTGTTGCTAAAACATTGTATTTGTGTGATATTATTTTTGTCATGTTTGGTTATTAATTAAAAATAATAACTGAGGTTTAAACTCGGTCCTTAACAGAGCTAGTAATAAAAAAACTCAAATCTCAAAAAACCTAAGGTATAATTACACATTATTTAACCAAAATACAAACCTAACCTTAATTGTATGGTATATACTATAAAACGGATGGAAAAAAAATAACAAATTGGTCAATTTTTCTACTTCATAATAAAAGTTATCTAGCTATAATAAAAAATGAGGTGTATTCGGTGTTTAACGTGTTAAAAATTAAAAAAATTTCGGTCATTATAACTAGGTAGTGTTTTGTTAAGAATATTTTTTTTTTTAAATCTCATATAAAAATGACCGTT